TTTTGCCGGTATCCGAGTAAAGGACTCCGTGATTTTGCAACGCGTTAACACGCAGACTAATAACGTTAGTAAACTGGTTCCGGCCAAAACTGCTTGACAGATCGCGTCAAGTACAATCAGTGAAAGGATTGCTATTTGATGCTGACGGATTCTAGCATTAAACACCGGGCATTTCCCGGAATTAGCATGAACGCCATTCGTAGCCGCCCGAGGTTTGATCATCTTTGAGTCTTATTCGTTTTTCAAGAGCACTTAGAAAGCTGTTAAAGCACAAAATATTTGTAGCAAATTGTGACAGTTCACGATAAGAATATTATTTTCTTTAGTTCTTGTGTAATCTTGTTTTTTACAGAGAATACTACGTTGTGAATATTGCAATTGCATTGCATAGGCGAATAAACTTTGTCGTCAGATGACAGAATTTCCAGTAAATTTTAGAGAATTTTTCATTGAACAGTTAATTGTGAAAGCTGAAAAATAAATTTTTTTAATCTATGCTGAGATGAACAATATTTTTTGATTCTGTAAAAGTAATAAACTAAAGATTCCTATTTTTAGTGTAATTGGCGGATGTAACCGCGACTGGAGATTGGGCAATATTAATGCAATTATGTACATTAAATATACGAGATGATATGTACCTGAAAATGACAAAGACCGTACTTCGTTTGCGGCTCATTCCCGTTATTTCATTGATCAATTCAATCCTCCTTTGTTGGTGAATGAATCGCATCGCACTTGAACTTCGATCATACTTGATTCAGGCAAAGACCTGTAAACAACGCCAGTCTGTAGTGAAAGGAACTAACTCGGTAATACTCGTTTTTAAACTGTTTTCAGGTGTATTTTAGCATGGTTTTGAATTTCGTAACTTTCTGATTTTTGCAGTTTTCTGTTTGCATGGTTAATCATAGTTACAATGATCAATATTACTGTTAAGCATTGGAGTACTCAGGTTATACCTTTCCTTCAGTTAGCCTCAGGCATCTGCATGACTGAAAGAGTGTCTTGGGCCTTTCTACGCCCTCGCATAAACGGAATAAACTAAAACGGGAAAAGTCTCTCCAGCGAAGTTTGAAATGAGCGAAGATAAGTTTCGCATTTTCAAGGAATTTTCCGTTCAAGGTGTCGTTACTTAGCTGAAAGAAACGGATGCTGTAGATAGACAGCTCCACTCCACTCTTCCTCAAGTTTTTAATGCACGAGATGAAGGTATGCTTTGATGGAATCGCCCACCACGCTAGGTGGTTTAATGGTATTCTTCATAAGTATATCGGGTCTGAGTCAGACAGTCCTCGCGCTTACGACACAGTTGGTAAGCCACTCTCGTAAATCAAACATGTTCATATTCTCACAATTAACTTATTAGTTTTTCAAAATTACGCAGTGCTTATTAAAATACATGGTGTGCCTTCACAGACAGTTTCAAGCGCAATGGGGCACCGGTTTGAAATTTTGTTTTTAAAAGAGTTTCTATTTGTGCTTAAATTAAAACGGATTAACGAGTGCTCCTCCACTATCTAATCCGGAGCAAGCTCCGCCTTGCCATGTGGTTAACCGGCTAGGGTAATTCGTTCGTGCGTTGGTGGTCATACTCAAAAAATAGCGTAAAACACGGTTTGCTTATCCAGAACGCAAAGAATACTGCTGTCAATCTGGTGAATGATCAATACCGACGTTTCGGCCCGTGTCTCACGTGCCTTCCTCAAGGTAAGTTGGTGGAGAAGTTTCGTGAATGTGTTTGGTCCTCCGCAGCAGTCGATAGGTTCGAAACCAGAAGGCTAAGACTTCAAAAAGGCAGCTTGCAGCTATGTGGTAGGGGTAGCGTGTAGTCTCATGTTTATTTCAAGATAGAGAATTGGTAAAAAAAGTAGTACACTAAGGTAAGGTATTCCAGTACCTAGTAATGATGAGACAGCGGTAAACATGCTGAGCTGATGCTGCGTCTCTTCCTGTCTACTCATTTACTGTCATGTTGTTCCGCCATAACGGCTTTCATAATTTTTGCCTTTCTCTAGTTTCTTTCGTTTCAAATTATCTTGCTGGATAGGGAAACGGTTTATCTTATCCTCTGTAAACGGATCCTACTACAAGAGACCCCTTGGAGTGATTTTAGCCTCAGTTACACAAATGGGCAAATTGCCACATTTGTAATGGTGATGCAAAGCTGGGAACAGGACATATGGTTTTCATAACCAGGGGAGACGATAGAGGTTCAGCAGTGCAGAGCACAGCATTAGGATGAACTGTGTCATTCTATAGATATTCAGCAACACTCCAAGTCGTTCTTTTAGATTCTGAATGCTTCGGTCTGTAATTACTGACATGCCCAATCTTATGTACATCTGACCAAAACATTGTCATTGAAACATTTTATAGCATGTTAGTACCTTGAAACCTTGACCTAAATTTTCATCTTTATTGAAAGCATATTTAAGGTTGTAAAGACAACAGAAATCATCTTCGTCTTCCATAACCGCTTCTGCTTTCGGGTCGCAGAGGCAGACCCGTCAGACATTGTTTCCAATGTTCCCGATCCTATACCAGAGTGAACTTGGACAGAAGATAAGCGGAGTCAATGCAGACTCCTTTATATTTGCGCCGAGGTCATAAAAAATCGTAACATTGACTCCAAGAGTATTTACACCAGAAATATATTTTAATATTTTTAACAGATTTATTTTACTAATTATGGTGTTAGGTGTAATGTAATTCTGTTTTTAAGTGGCTGCGATCTGGTGTAACATAACGATGGGAGCGATTGCGAAAATGTGGAAAGCGGCGGCAACGTACAAGACATTGCGCGGCATGATCGGCTGTGGTATTGACTACTGCTGTTGTCGGAAGTTGAGTGAGACCATGTGTGGCACTACTGCAAGCCTCTGGCAGGAGTACCATAGCGCCAAACTGAAGTCGTCCGTGGTTGCCCTGGCACCTCCTCAAGTCAATCCATTTTCCGTTTTCGCTAACAATGAGCTCAACCTCAGTTACATCGACGTGTATGGCTTCGACTACGACTACACTTTGGCCATTTACCGCAAGTCGCTAAACAGTCTCATCTACCGTCTATCCCTCAGTCACCTTATCAAAGAATATAAGGTACAGGCTTGTCTGCCTTTGTTTCCATGCTGGCTTATTCTGGTCTTTCAGTACCCTGTGGAATTGTCATCTATGGACTACGACCCCCAGTTTGCCATCCGTGGCCTCCATTATGACGTGGACAACTGCGTGCTGATGAAGCTTGACGCTTTTTGTCA